TTTTTTACTTTTATATTGCTTTGAAAGTATTTGTAAAAATCTGCAAATATTTATAATTTCAAAACAAATTTTAAAACTTATATAAATGGGCAATTAAATATAATAAATATTAATTGTTTTTATTTTCAATATTCAAAATACTTGTTTTATCTATCATTATTATCTATAATAATCTAAAATATTTATTATTATTATTATAAATTTTAAATTATATTAACAAAAATATCAAATATTTGTTTTCCAAATTTTTAAAATCCCTATTATTCATTTTGAAACTGAAATTAGAAAACAGCAAAATTAAAATAAATTCAATGTATTATAAATTATAATTCAAATTATAAAATATAATTCAAAAATTCCAATAAAAAAGGCTTGCAAAGTTGCAACAAGTTTTTATGAAAAACATTAATGTATCATAGCAATGAAAATAATAAGTCACTATATATCCTCTTCGTTTTGGAATTCATTACAGAAAAATTAAATTATATTTAGTTGGTAATAGGAATATCATATAGTCTATGTTTAACAACTAACTCTAGATATTTCTCATTATTTCTTCTCTCTACTTTCTAATTTTCACCAATTATTTCCAGTGGAAATTTTTGCCGAATTGAAATTGTTGATATCGACATATAATAATAAATAACCAATAATAATAATAAATAATTCTTCAGCAATTCTGCATATGTTTTAATTAAAATCTGATCTATACTTATTATAATAAAGATAAAATGTCAAAACGTCCAGAATATTTAGCTCCACCTGAACTGGTAAGAATAAATTTTAAATTGTTTATGTTATGAATTTTGTGAAAATGTTTTATTTTTATTGTAGTTTTACGATGAATCCGAAGCTCGAAAATATACTCAAAAGTAAGATTTTTAATAGTAATACTTTTTTTTAAATAATTATATTTTTTTATATTCTATTTTAAACAAATATAAATTTACTTTTTATAGTTCTCGCATGATAGATATACAAGAGCAAATGTGTAAACGTGCTCTAGAACTTCTTTTACTACCACATGATAAAAGTATTTTACTCTTAGATATTGGTTGTGGCTCAGGATTAAGTGGCAATGTAATTGAGAAATACGGACATATATGGATAGGAATTGATATATCTCATGCAATGCTTGGCAAGTATATGTAGAATATGTTTTAATAAATTATATTTCATATAACTTTAATTATTTTTAATACAAATATTTTAGAAATAGCTTTAGAAAGAGAAGTGGATGGAGATTTAATTTTAGGAGATATGGGTCAAGGAATGCCATTTAAAGCAGGAAGTTTTGATGGAGCAATAAGCATTTCTGCATTACAATGGTTATGTAATGCAGATAAAAGTACTCATAATCCTTCAAAACGATTATACAAATTTTTTTCTACATTATTTTCATGTTTATCAAGATCAGCTAGAGCTGTGTTTCAATTTTATCCTGAAAATAGCGAACAAATTGAATTAATTACAACACAAGCAACAAAAGCAGGTTTTTATGGGGGTGTAGTTGTTGATTTTCCAAACAGTACCAAAGCAAAAAAATATTTTCTGGTATTAATGATAAATGGATTTTCTATTCTTCCACCAGCTTTAGGTGTTAATGATGTTGAGTCAGTTATATCTTATACATCTAGAAGGTTAAGTTTTAATTCATGTTAAATTGCTTTAATTCATGTTAAATGAAATCTTATCCATTTTTTTCTTTTTTTTTTTAGTCTTACTTATAATTCTTATTTTTTTAGAGAACAAATAAAAAAGGTCAAAAATAAATCTTTAAAAAATAGTAGAAATTGGATTATGGAAAAAAAAGAAAGACGTCGAAAACAAGGAAAGAAAGTACGAGAAGACTCAAAATATACAGGAAGAAAAAGATGTGGAAAATTGTAATATTTTTTTGATTTATATATTTTTAATTTCTGTTTCAAAAAAATAAATATTTATTTATTTATTAAATTTGTTATCTATTATATCTATTTTTTTATTTCTTATATTTTTAATTGTGTTTAAAATGCACTTATATAAAAAAGAAAATTTCAATATTACAAAATTAAAAATCATTTAAATATTTAATTTATTGTATAAAGAGAAATACATAATTGATAATTCTACACATTCTATATATATATTCTAAGACTTTATATTTTATACTCTATAATCTATAATCTATAATGATTTAATCAGGTAATAAGAATTTAGACAAACTTTTATAAACATCAGGATGTGTGGTTTTTTTAAGTTCTTTTCTATCTAACCAACAATGTCTTACATTAGAAGAAATATCTCCACTTATATATTTTGCTAAGAAATAGAAAATTTTTGCCCCATTTTGACCTTTTTCTTGTATATTTTTAGGATATTTATATTGATAAAATCCAATTGGTGCATTGCCATAAAATTTTACTTTTATGTTATTTCCACATAGTTCTTGTAATGTTCTATGTGCAGTCTGAAATAACAAATAAATATTGATAATTATATTATAAGAGAAAAAATAAATAAAATACATATAGTTCTTACTTGTATCATACTTTCTCCATGTTTTCTTTTACTTTGTGGAGGAATCCAAAAGTTAGAAGTACCAATTTTTTGTTCTACTAATAATACTAAATTTTTATCTAATTTTCGTTTCAATGATACAATGGTATTGTCTTCTTCATTTTCTATGATTTAAGTAAGTTAGATATAAGAAATATGATTAAATTATTTAAAATCATTAAAACTCATACCATTAATTCTTGATGCAAATTTAAACTTAGTAAGTTCTTCTTCCCAAGAATCTTCAAAGTCTTGTATTGTTTGAGCAGAAGTCATACTCTCAGATGCAGATAATTTTTTTTTATTTTTTTCCTTTTGTTTTTGCATTTCAAAATCAGATATCATACTATTTTCAAATTCTATATATTGTAACATTTTTTGATATCTTGCTTCTATATCTAACATCGGTTTTGTAATTATTGGATGACGTTCCAAACAAACAGCACTTAATAAATCCCATTTTTCCAAAACATCTATATCTTGTTCCGAAAGAGTTCGAGATATAATCTTTGATGTTGATGAAATATCTATGTAAAAGGTATTTTTCTTCAAATGATTTCATGAAATTATGTGAAAATAAAATATATTTTGAAATATATTATTTTATAAAACAAATATAAAATCATAAATTTATAAATTTAATTATAATAATTAAAACTTACACGTTGTTAAAGGCGAACCATTTGATGTACATAATGTTAAAATTTTTTTAAACATCATTGTTCCATACTTTAAGATACTTGAAAAATTAAAAGTTTTTTTGAGTTAAAATAGAGATAAAATAAGTACAAATAAATAATAGAATAATAGACTAAATAAATAATAAATAGTATTATGAATCTCTAGAAACTGCATAAAAATAGTAATTTTAAGGTTATTAAACAAAATTGCTGGAAGAATTCTCTACTATAAAGAAAAGAAAATGACGTCATATATACATCGTTGTGTAGCTCGAAAATTATAATTATTGTTATCCTTGAGAAAAACTAAATTACTACTCATGGTTATAATTAAAATTTAAATACTAATTAAAATAAAATTCATTCACACGATTTTAAATAACAATTTTTAAAATTATATTCATAATATTTTTATATTTGATGTTAATATGTTTTGTTAATAATAAATTTAAATTAATAATAATTTTAATATATAATTTTAAATAATAATTTTATATAATTTAATTGATATTTCATATTGTTTTATTTACTTTTTTTTTTAATAAATATTTTATATCTCAACTATATTTTCTCTTCTAGATAAAAATAAATGTTTATTTAATAAATTAAAATATATAAATAATAATGACAATTTTTAATAAACTATTATATTCATTTAATAAACTACTATATTCATTGTTTCATATATCTTGTTGTAGAATTCATATATGGCGCGTTTAAATTTCCACTATAGAAAGTCATATAATATTTTAAAAGAGCAATTAGTAGTAATTAAATTTATCATGTTGGTAAGACAAAATCATTTTTGACGTTTGATACTCTTTACTTAATGCCAACGTTACGTTAATGTTCCACGTTGTAGGATTGACGATTGCGTTGCTGTCCTTCCACGTTGCAGAGATGGTAGCCGGTACTGTTATTTTGAAGCAGCGTAGTTGAATGTTGCTTTGAAGTGAGTGTTCAGGAACTGGGATAAATCGATTTTTATAACAGAAAAATTAATTTTAGAACAACGGAACGAAATGAAGAAGTTTAACATTTTTTTATTAGTTTTCATTTCAACAATTACTTTTACAATGAATAGAGGTAATAAACAATAATGAAATGTTAATTAATATTTATTTTACAATTTATATTTAAAACATTGTAACGTATTTGAAAAACATATGGAAAAATTATATTTTTTTTCGTTTTTATTTTTTTCTTCTATATGTAATTTATATTAAACATACAATTAGCATAATTTTTTTCATATCAATTAATAAATTTAAAGTAATATTTTTCATAATAAATATATAAACATAATTTTTATTAATTTATTCATAATTTATTCATAATTTATATATAAACATTATGCATATAAACACATATAAACATATTTTGTAATATATTTTTTTATAATTATATTGATTATATTAATGTTTAAATTTATATTTGTTTATACAATTTGTATAAACAATTGTATATAAATAATTATATAATAAATGCATATTTTTCATTATAGTTTATACTCAAGAAGATGAAAATATAGATGATATTGTAGATATTGAAGGAGAAGACAATTCTATAATAACAGATGAAGAACCAGAAGATGAAATAACTACTGCTTCATCTGATGCAGATACAACTATATTATTTACTAAACCAGTTTACAATGGATTATCAACATTAGGTATATATATAAATCTTTTGAAATCATATCAATCAGAGTATATTTTTTTATTTATAAAATTAGAAGTTAATATTTCATTTACTTTTTTAGAATTACCAGCTGGAAATTTAGTTGAATTTCTTGTTGGTTTCACCAATAAAGGAGAATCTGACTTTGTTCTTGAATCTGTAGATGCCTCTTTTCGTTATGCAATGAATTTTAATTTTTATATTCAAAATTTTTCAACTGTTATATATAACAAGATTGTAAAACCAAAACACGAAGCAACATTAGCTTATTCATTTATTCCATCAGAAAATCTTGCTGGAAGGCCTTTTGGCTTTAATATTAATTTGAATTATAGAGATGTTGTATGTAATATTATAATATAATATTTATTATCAAAAATATTTGTTCAAAAAATTACTGAATCTATAATTTTACAGAATGGTATTAGTTTCAATGAAGCTGTCTACAATGAAACTGTGCAAATAATAGAATTGGATGATGGTCTTGATGGAGAAACAATTTTCTTATATGTCTTTCTGGCAGCATGTGTAATATTAACACTTGTAGGAGGGCAACAACTTCTTTCATCTCTTGGCCGTAAATCTCGATCTTCTAGTACTCGTAAAACACCTGTTGAAATGGGTACTTCTAATCCTAATAATGTAGATTATGATTGGTTACCAAAAGAAACATTAAATAGAATTAGTAAGTATTATATATTTGAAAAATTAAATTTAAAATAACATATTTTTTTTAAAAAATGTTTTTTTTATAGATAAATCTCCTAGAACTCCTAGACAAAGTCCTAGGCAACGAAAAGTTAAAAGAACTGATGACTGATATTAATATATGCGTGTGCCTGTGTGTGTGTCTATCATGTGTAAATAAAAGAGGAAGTATGGTTTAACATTTATGATAATTCTTTAACAAAAAATTTTCACATTTTTGCATTTATGATATATTAAAATGAGAATTTAACATCATTATTATGTATTTAAGATATAAAACAAATGGTTTACATTATACTTTGTAATGAAACAAAATAAAATTTGTAATTATTTTAAATATTATAAAATGTTATATGATACTATCAAGAAAAAAAAAGGAATAATACAAATCAGAACATATAATTATTTTATGTAAGTAATATATTTTTCATGCACTGTTATTTATAAATCACATCAATATATGTACATCTTATAATCATTGTTTATTTTGTTATTGATCTCTGAAAAAATGTTATATTAATAAAACAATTTTGTATAATCTATTTATATATTATTTATGATATAGAATTTTGATAATTCCATAATTATAATTTAATAGAATTTAAAAATATTTTGTGCTAGAAGTACATTAAGTACATTAAGTACTTTTTAGCTATGGCAATTATTTCTAAATATAATTTTTAATAAAAAATCAGAATTTTATAAAAGAAATTTTTATTAGAATTTATTAGAATTTAAATAATAATGTAAAAAGACTTTTGTGATAATCGCGAAATATTAATATATATGTATTATAATGTATGTATATATATATATATATGTTATTTATAAATTCACAAATAATAGGAAATAAAATGTTTTTTTAAATCAATTTTTAATTAGGGATATATCATAATTAGTTATATACAATTATATATATTAAT